TAGTTTGCGGACCAGTGTTGCCAAATCCGCGATTGCCGCTGGTTGTTTATTATGTCAGCAGGTTGAAGCGACCCCAATAACGTGATATTTAGGCCCTGGAATGTGAATTGGTCAGGAGAACCCCGCCAAAAAAATGTGTATTTTACCCCCAGAATGCGATTTTTACTGGGGGGACCCCCTCGAAAACAACTGGGCTATTTTCAGGCTAGTTTTGAGTAGTAATTGGGCGGGTTTTGTAGCCTGGCAAAACCCTGCACCAGACAGAGCTGTCGGCGATTCTTCCTATTGTAAAGTCATGCAATGTGAAACCCCCTGTCGCAGATCCAACGTGCAGTGTGAACACAGCAGCAACTGAATGCTACCCCAGATAATCACGCAGTGTGAAAACAATGGCGATCCGACGAGTTTGAAAATCGTGCAGTGTGAACTTGGCATAAGTTGCTCAAGCAAGTGGCAACACATTTAAACACAGCATATAGCCTACTTATTTTAAAAGTGGGTTATCACAAATATTTTTAATTAAAACTCATCACATCACATCACTGACAGAAACAGTTGGCTCTTATGCCTTTTCTTTTTAATCCAAATCTTTGTTACAAGCAATATCCCGCGGCTCTTGAACTTTGTTTTTCTACCTCCACAAGTGCATCCATGTTGCCTTGTTTATCTAAAAGTGCACTATTCGACACAACAAATCTCTGACAGTAAACTGATGGGCTGTGCAATTAATCGCATGCGACTGTCATGCGCATCTCGTCAATTCAGATTGAGCGGCATCACTACACAGAGCCATAGTTCACTGACAATTAGGCTATATCGCGTTCATAATCGCAGATGAATCGCATTCGATTATGAACGCGATATCGCCTAGCTTGTCAAGTGAATTACGGCTCAGGCGATTTACAACTAATCACGGGACCGGCTTTACTGACGAGACGGGCATGACAATCGCATGCGATTAATTGCACAGCCTCGTTCTATTTATGATGCACTAGATTTGCAATGCCCGCTTTGTCACATCTAGCTGGACAGCCGCTAGCTGTTGATTTTAGTATATATATATTTTTTGGCTAGTAGAAGTTATGAATGGCCGGTAACTTAAAGGGCACATATTATGCAAAATCCACTTTAACATGGTGTTTGGACATGTGTTGGCAGTGTGTGAACACAACAACTACAATAATAAAAATCCACCCACTTTTTTAATCCCCGTTAAACCAAAACTAGTCCTGCCGATTTGGTTCTCTAATATGACATCACGATGCATTAGGACTTAAGCCATTAATATGTTTTTTTTAAGATAGTGAAAACAAACACAAATGTCAGGGCATGTCAAAACTTCTGCAGGTCCCCAAAACCCCCTCAGATCCCAGAGGGTTAAAGCTTTGTAAGCATGTAGCCTACCACAAACAGTCATTATGAAGAAAAAAAAAAGACCAACCTCCTTGTTCCTCGTGTTTTATTATCCAGGGTTCTGGTTCTTCGTGTTTTATTCTCCAGGGTTCTGGTTCCTCGTGTTTTATTCTCCAGG